CTGACACGTGGTGGACAGGTCCAGGAGGAGCCAGGAGTCCGCACCCCAACTCCCTTCCACCTCAGTCTTCAAGGACAGACCCTCACCTCTTGCTTGGGTGTCCCTGACAGCAGCGAGCCTGAGTCCTACACAGCACATCCTGGTGCCCCAGGAGTAGGGATTCTAAAAGAAGTCATGACATCCCTGAGCCTCTACCACCTGTGGATGTGAGAACGCGGCCTGGGCACAGCACTGCCTGGGAAAAGTCGTTATGTTAGGGACAGAGCAGGCCAGGATTAAGAATATATCCTGCTGCCTGGGAGAGAGAAAAGAGGGGTCTATTTGTTTCCTGCTGATGCCATCAGCTCCAGCTAGTCACACAAACCCTGACAAGGAAACCCAGACCATGTTAAGATGACCCCCCCAATCAGCATGGAGCTCTTCAGGGCGGCTAAGTTTTTACAACAGAATCTCTGACCACATTTGGGTCATGTGGTGGCTATCCATTTACCTTTGTAAGCTTCACTGTCTTCCTAACAGGCTGTGCCATATTGTGTCCCCATCAGCCATGATAAGGCTTCCTGTGGCTCCACGACCCACCTACCCACCCCCACATGTGGTGTCACTCAGTAGTCCCTCCTCCTGCCGCCACCCATAGGTCCCATCCAGAGCCTGGCGTGTCCTGGGGAGCACATTCATCACACAACTTTGTGTTGGCAGCGGCTGCTGTGTCCTCAGGCGCCCAGGAGGTACTCAGAATGTGAGGCTGGCTGCTCCTTGGGCCACGAGAGCCGTTGGGCCCTTGGGATCTGTCACGTTCTCCTCTGGGTCCCCTGCCTCCCCCAGGAATGTCCCCATTCTCCCTGAGGCCCCCATCTCTCCCAAGGCCCTCCATCCCCCAGCAGCCTTACATGACATCATACTGCTGCCTGAACATGACATGGTCTCTGAGGGCCAGGGTCACATCCAGACTGATCTGCTATATGTGCAGAGATGACACCTTGCCCTGCTCCTTCCTTTTCTGTACAGCAGGGCCAAGAGGAAGGAACAGTCTCAGAATGCACCAAAGACTCATGGCCACTAACAGTAGCCACAGTCAGGCAGCACTTCTGGAAGGAAGGGAAGTTTATGTCTCCAGAAAACTCCTTGTCTCGCTTGCGTTGGAAGCTGGAGAGGGTCACAAGAGCCCAACTCTCCTGTGGTGCCCACATCACTGATTGCACCCAGCAGTCCTGGCGAGGAGATAGCCAAGGACCTCCCACTGCTGCTGTCAGACCCCAGAGTTCCCCCAGGCCCCAAACCCTCCTCTGTCATCTGAGCCACCTGTAAATAGGGACCAGGGCTGCCCAGGTCAGGTCTCCTGAGCCTCTTCTCCTGGAAGGTGAGCCCCACTGTGGGAACCGTATCTCTGTTTATCCTCCACCTTCTGCTCCCATACAAAGGACCTGTCCCCTTACAAGAGGGTGGGCATCCCCTGTCCCTGGGTTCCTCCCCTGGAATGTTCCTCCCAGGACCTATCTCAGGGCCCTCAGGAGGGCAGGGAAGTAGCTTCTGCCTGGGCCTCTGCTTCCTGAGGCCAGCTGTCCCCAGCCACTGCAGGGAGGTGCTGCTGGTTCCATGCTGAACTGGCTCCCTAGTCAGGAGCCTCAGAGCTGAGTCCTGCAGAGGGAGGGAGGGCTGGCGGGTCCAAAAGAGCTGGGTCTTGGAACAATGGCTTCCAGGCCTGTCTGTGGTGCCCACCGCACCCTCCCTGATGCTAGAAACACCCAGGAAAGCTGGGACCCCACCACCTTGACACCCCTGCTTCATAGTTATGAAGGGAAACAAGTACCCTCACAGTCCCAATCAGCCTCACCAACACTCGTGTTTCTTGGTGTCGGCAGCTGTTTCACTTGTAGAGAAGAGAGGCTGGACCCCAGCATCTTCTCTGTAGCCAGCCAGCTTTCTAGATTCCCTTGCTAATTCTGACACACAAGTATATGGAGAATCTCCCAAGTGTTCTAAGGATGTGGTGATATATTCAGAATGTACTCAAGGAGAAAGGAACAGCATGCTATTTCTTCCTTCTCATTTGTGTGACAATAACTTATTTTGTTGCCACCCCTGGGATTACAAGTGTGAGCCACTATTCCCAGCTGGTTTTGCTTTTTTATAAGAACAGTAAAAATTTGTGTGGGAGCCATCAGTACAAATGCCAAAACAGTTCTTCCAAGACAATCCTTTGATTCCAGATATGAAATAACATCCAATATATCTTGGCTTTTTGTTTGTTTATTTGGGAAAGCTGAAAATTTTTTTCTTGACAGTCATGCTAATCATTTACAAATCTTACAAGTGTGATAGCACGGCATTTATTGGTAAAATGTTGACTCATCAGCCAGGATAAAGAACTTGTTGTTGGCCAGTCCTAATGGCCTATGCCTGTAATCCTAGCACTTTGGAAGGCTGAGGTGGGGGGATTCATTGAGCCCTGGAACTTGAGACCAGCCTCAGCAACATAGCAAAATGCTGTCTCTATAAAGCATTAAAAACTTAGCTAGGCATGTAGATCCAGCTACTTAGGAAGCTGAGGCAGGAGGATCAACTGAGCCCAGGGGCTTGAGATTACAGTGAACTATGATTGCACCCACACACTCTAGCCTGGGCAACAGAGTGAGACCTTGTCTCTTAAAAATTAAGAAGAAAAAAAAAAAACTGTTGTTCATGGGTGTGTGGCTAGTCCTATAATCCCACCTATTTGGAGTCCAGGCAGGAGGATATCTTGAGGCCAGGAGTTTGAGACCAGCTTGGGCAACACAGCAAAACCTCCACCTCAAAAAAAGAAGAAGGAGGAGGAGGAGTTGTTGTTTTTCAGTCAAAAACCTCTTTAGCGTCACATGCCATGTCATCAGTATGTCGAGTTGTTCTCTCTGACAGCAGACCTTTCTCTTTTGTACTGCATGTGGCATTACCATTTTACTGTCATTGTGTTAATTTTAGGTTCCCACCATGTGTTGTATGACTTTTCTTTTCCTATATAATAGGTTCTGCTACCAAATAACTTGCCTTTTTAGCCATGGGACTTTATATATATAAAGTGTGTGTGGCTTCTGGTTCACACACACTGTGTGTGTGTGTGTGTATTAAATCATAAACACATGGATCATGTATACATTAATGCATTTATGGGGTACAATGTGCTGATTTCATATAGAATTAGGAATGCTTACATCACACTGGTTAATATATACCTCATCACGTTTACTTAGTTATTGTGTTAAGACATTTATACTCTATATTAATAGATCTGACATGTACCTTTGCGTTATGCACCATTGTGGTGATCCCACCATTCACCCTCCCTCGATCTGACCTCCCCGCTCCCTTTCTATGCCCCCCTTCTCCTTCCTTCATCTTGGGCCATAGTTGTGATCTATTCTTCATATGAAAGTGTGAGTGATTGTAATTGGTTTCATAATAGTACTGAGTACATGAGATAATTGAGTCTCTTTCATCACTGGAAACCCTGGGAACCTAATATCCACTAATTTATAACATATTAAACAGGATTTCATATGTTTTCTGCAAAATTTTTGTTTAATCATCTGTTCTCCCCTTCTATATTATAACTTATTATTAGCATCTGTGTTTTACAGATGGGTCTAATAGTCTATCGTGCTGCTTTTTAAAAATGAGGTGTGAAATGAAAGAAGAGAATTCCAGGATTAAGAGTATGGGTGAATCTGACAAGGTTGGTTAGCAATAAAGACTTACAACTCACAAAAGCATTAATGGCAGAAATGTCTCAAGGAGGCTGAGTGCAGTGGCTCACACCTGTAATCCTAGGACTCTGGAAGACTGAGGTGGGAGGATTGTGTACAAGATACACTTGAGAGTATAGGGAGTTGGGAGGACCTGTGCCCAGGAAAACAGGTTCGTGAGACAACTAGCAGTTCTACCACAAACTATTTCTTTGTCTACAGCTGGCAACAGTGAGTTTCTTCAAGCAAGAGTTGAGTCTCTTTCATTACTGGAAACCCTGGGAACCTGATATCCACTGCCCACTATGAACGTGGATCTGACCAAGCACAGAAAAAGCTGCTGTTGCCAAAGGAGTGATCAGGAAGCTTCCAAAAGAGCTGTGCTGTGCACAACTGAATTTGGTATGCATGATAAGCTGTGCAGTGAGTTTCAGGAGGAAGATGGTCATAGAAACAGACTCAGCAGTGAGAGCACTAATTTTGTTGTTATTCATGGAGCAGCTCACTTTACTCTCAGAGCTGGCACCTTTCTCTGTCAAATAGAGTTACTGTGAGGATTAAATTGAATACGTATGAAGTAGGTCCTCAATAAATAATGGCTGATAGTTTTATTTTGGTAATAACCCCAAAGGGGAATTTCCATCAATATCAATGATCAAGGAGAGAATAACAACACCAATTAACATTTATTGTGCTGTTAGTATAAGCTATAAATATATTAACTTTATGGATCATGTGAGGTAGATGCTATTATTCCCCTTTTACAAAGAAAGAAACAAAGGCATAGGAAAATTAGGCAGCAAGGCAAAGATCACAGACCTACTTATAGGGGAGTTAGGCAGTCTTAACCCTACAACCAATTTATATCTAGGTGGGACTGGGGATTGGACAACTTGGACTCATGAATTTCTTTGCAACAAAAGGACTAAAAGCCATAGTATCACTGTGGACTTCTTTGTCTGGCTTTGCCATTGACCTCCTAGGTAACACTGGGCCAGCCCTTCTTTTTTCTTGACTTCAGTTTCCTCATTTTACAGTGAAGGAATTAGACACAGTGATTCCTGATTCTGACCTACAGCCTCAAAGGAAGTATTTGACAAATAGGCCCAGGCCTCCTGATGACATCATAGAGAGAAGAGTTCCATGAGAATAGTCAGGCCTTCCCAGAAGCCCAATGTCACAGTCTGTGTTGAGCTCAGCTTGGAAGAGAAGGGAAATCCAGGAGGTGCCTGTTGGGTCCAGGTCTTGAGCTCTCTTTGTTCCAAGGTTCCCAGAATAGTGATGGATCAAAACTTGATGTCTGAGAACACTCAAAATAAGGCAGACACCGATAACTTGGACATGTTCTCTCAGCACCCCTCATCATCCCCACGTCACAGTCCAGGCCACAGTGGAGCTCACTACCATCCTGCCTCCCCTCACCACAGGGTGGCCCAACATGATGGTGAGTCCCGCCATCATGGAACACCCCACCATCACTCTGGATCTCACCACTCTCCTGAGTTCCAAGACAATACCTCCTCCTATTATTCCTACCCATCTCACCACTACAGTGAGGTCCACCACCATGGCAGAACCAACAGTCCTACATCTTCTGGTCCAGCCACTTCTCATGGCCTTGTTCAGTCCCATGATTCCTACCAGAAGGATTCCTTCAATGATGAGCACTACCATGACAGCAGGATGCATCACAGTGGCTCCCACCACCAAGATGGGTCCTACCACCATGGCAGACTGAACTACCATGGTGGGTCCAACCAGCATGATGGGCCTCCACATCACTTTGGATCCCACCACAATGTATCCCCCTATCATGTTGGATCCCACCAGAGTGGGTACCCCCACCATGTTGGATCCCACCAGGGTGGGTCCCCCCACCACGTTGGATCCCACCAGGGTGGGTCCTCCCACCACAGTGGGTCCCCCCACCATGTTGGACCCCACCAGGGTGGGTCCTCCCATCACATTGGATCCCACCACAGTGGGTCCCCTCACCATGTTGGATCCCACCAGGGTGGGTCTTCCCACCACATTGGATCCCATCACAGTGAGTCCCCCCATCATGTTGGATCCCACCATGGTGGGTCCTCCCATCACATTGGATCCCACCATGGTGGGTCCCCCCACCACGGTGGGTCCTCCCACCACATTGGATCCCACCACAGTGGGTCCCCTCACCATGTTGGATCCCACCATAGTGGGTCCTCCCACCACATTGGATCCCACCACAGTGGGTCCCCTCACCATGCTGGATCCCACCATGGTGGGTCCTCCCACCACATTGGATCCCACCACAGTGGGTCACCCCATGCTGGATCCCACCACACTGAGTACTACTACCAGAGTGATTCCCACCCCCATGGTGGGTCCCATAACCATAGTGGGCCCCACCACAATGGTGGATCTCACCACCATGGTGGATCTCACCACCATAGTGGGCCCTACCATCATGGTGGGCCCCAAAATCCTCATGAGGATTTGCCTCAGCATTCCTATGGTGAGTCCCCCCACCACACCAGGACTTCTGACCATAGTGGGCTCCACCATATTGCACCCATTACTGGTGAAGACTTCCACCATGGAAGATCCCATCACCATGAAGCCCACCACCACAGAAGGCCTCAACATCATGGAGAGACTGCTTCCCATATTTCCTCTGAGGAGTTGTACCATCATGGTCATAATGAGCATCATCATGGCGATTACCACCCCAATGAGCAACACTATGGGGAGCATCCCCACCAGAGAGACCACCACCACAGTGAACATGCCCACCAAAGAATCCACCAACACCACAGAGACTACAGCCACTATGGCGAGCACTCCAGTAGCTTGCATCCTCCTGATGACTTACATGGTGATCACCGATACAAGGAGTACCATCAGAGTACTTCCCAACTATTTGTTCCACACAGCCTTGGTAAGGCTCCCCTCAGCTCAACCATTTCTTCTAAGCCATCCCACCTATCTAAGGGCTCCACTTCCACCATAAGTCAGACACACTCTAGAGTTCTCTCGATTGGCTCCCAGATCTCCAACAAAGTTCATCCCCAGGATACCGCCTCCAAAGACTCAGAAAGCTGGGATGAAGAAGATGAGCAATTTGAAAAGCACAAAAGTGAGTCTTTGCTGAGTCCTGTACCTCCCACAGCCTGGTCCAGATTCCAAACTTGCTTTCAGCACCCACAACTGACCTTCCACAGATCATGAGGCTTGACCCTCACCTGCATATGTAGTCCACTAGCTGTTCACTCTCCCAGCTGTTCATCACCCCATCTTTTATTTCTTGAATTATGTACCTCTTCAAGCCTTGAGGTGTTTGTTGATTCAGTCACTGCTTTATTCATTCACGTGTTCACTTTTCAAATATTGACTCTTTCTGAATGTGGATACACAGTCCACAAGGAAAAATCCAACCCTGTTGCTTCCCTCAGGGGGCTCCAAGACTAGGGGTGACCACTTAACCAGTTACAGATCAGTAATAGGGGCCTGTCCTCCTCCACATCAGAACATTTATTACTGTGGATTCTATTTGCCTACTTTCTCCCAAGAGGACAGAACATAGGAACTAGAACCTGAATGAGGGCCTTATTGGAGGACAGGGAGAGAAATCTTGGCTATTAACTCACAATTCCTCAAACTTGGTTCCCAGTAGTTCAGTAAACATGGCAGCAGTGGTGAGTGTCTTGTTGAATGGAGACAAGAAAGGTAGCCCATAGGAGGAAATGTTTTGGCAGGATCTTAAAGGGAAAGGGTGAGTTTACAAAGAGAAGAGAATGGTGAGAAGGGTGGATTTTCCACATGTAAGTTGCCATGCAAGCAAAGAAAGTCATGGAGGTGTGGAAGTAGGAGCTCTCAGGATCCTCTCAAGCCAGTTACAACTCCCAAACATGCTGGCACCTGTCATGGAAAGGGTCAGGTCTGTAGCCCGGGTATTCGCACAGGCTAGCAGAGAGACACCTTAGTGGACAGCAGGTGAGCAAGCAGGAATGATGATGAACTCTGACCCCCTCTGGGAAGGTGCCTGGGACCCCCATGTTCCCCATCTTTACAGACTTGACTTTTTGGCTCCCTTTCAGCCGGCCGGAGCCAGAGGACCCACAAGAAGCCGCGTCCTCCATCCTTTTTCACTATGCTGTCTGAAAAATTAAGCTACCTCATCCAGGGCTTCCGGAGAATGATCTGGAACCTGACCCACTCCTGGGCCTTTGAAATCTTCATCTTCTTCATCATCTGCCTCAACACTGTCATGCTTGTGGCCCAGACCTTTGCTGAAGTGGAGATCAGGGGGGGTAAGAGCCAGGGAGCCTCGTTGACGTGGAGAAGGCCACTGATGTTGTTCCAGGACCTCCTGTAGGCCTGATCAAGTGGCAGGTGATTTACATAACTTAGCTCACTTGGTCCTCCCCCAGTGTTAGAGATGAGGCTCAGAAAGAGGGTGCTGAGGTTGGCTGCAGTTGGCCAGAGCCTGGACGCCAGCTCTCAGGCAGCCTGCTGTTGGAGGCTACAGTCGCCAGGGGGCGCACCGCTCAACACACAGCTTTGGGCGAGAATGGTGCAGGGAACCCGGGTCTGCGGGAAGGGCAGGAGACCTGAAGAGAAGGACGGAGCGTAAAAGAGGAACACCTGGAAGGCCAGCGCCTGATTATCAGTGGAGCAGGATAAAAGAAAGGACCTGCTGCAGCTCACTGTTTCAGGCTCTATCCTAAGCCCTTAAGTTAAATGCACTTAACATTCACGACTCCATCGGATAGACTTTTATAATCCCTGTTTTAAGGATAAGAAAAGTGAAACACAGAACAGTTAGATCACACAGACATTTAGGGCAGAATCAGGGAGAGCCAAGGTATTTGGGCTGATGTGAAGTGCTGGTGGTGAGGGGAGAGAGCATGGGGGAGGGGGTGGCTATTGCTGGGAATGGCCCTGAGTGAGCCCCTGGTATCCCCACAGAATGGCACTTCTTGGCCTTGGACTGCATTTTCTTCTGCATCTACGTAGTGGAAGCTCTGCTCAAGATCATTGCCCTGGGCCTCTCATATTTTCGTGACTACTGGAATGATCTGGGTGGGTGGGGATGGCACATGCATGTTTGGAGGGGGAGGCTGAGAATGAAATAGGGGCAGGGACAGGAGTGCTGGCATCAGGAGTGCTGTGGGGCAAGCCAGGGCCCAGGAGCCCGCCACACTCACCTATGTACCTTCAGACTTCCTCATCATGATCATGGCCATGCTGGACTTCCTGCTCATGCAGTTTAACTCCTCCTCCTCCATCTACAACCAAAGCCTCTTCCGGGTCCTCAAGGTCTGCAAGAGCCTGCGGGCACTGAGGGCCATCCGGGTCCTGCGGAAGTTCAGGTCAGTACGACCATCCTGGTCTGGGGACTCTGAAGGAAGGGGGACACAGGCCTGGGCCCCCAAGGGACTCATTCCCTCCACTGGGATTAATCTCATCATTTTCTGGAAAGGGGCCAAGGCTCACCAAAGTCACCCACAAATCAGGGACCTCCTGTCTTCAGTATCAGCCAGGGCTGGACTGCTGTGCACAGATCCCCACCCTCACTGACTCATCCCCCCTTCTCTACTTCTGCTCACAGTATCTTAACCAGCCTCCAAGAAGTGACAGGGACCCTGGCCCGGAGCTTGCCATCCATCACGGCCATCCTCATCCTCATGTTTACCTGCCTCTGTATCCAGCACTGGGGGCTGGGGAAAAGAGCCTGGGGTCTGCAGTAGAAGGGGTGGGGGAAACAAGGACTGGATGATAAGGGGTGCTGGGGTGGAGATAGGACTTGGGAACCTGGTTTGGCCCTGAACAGCCAGTCCTATTCTCCGTGGTACTCCGGGCACTGTTCCGAAAATCTGACCCCAAGCGCTTCCGAAGCATCCTCACCACCATATTCACCCTCTTCACCATGCTCACCCTGGACGACTGGTCCCTCATCTACATAGACAGCCGAGCCCAAGGTGGGGCAGACGACTGGCGGGTGGGCAGACCCTGACGGCTCAGTTATCCCATCTGCAAAGGGGGCTCTGAGCCTGCTGGCAAGGGTGCAGTGTGGACAGGCAAGCTCCAAGGACTCCCTCTCTCCCACTTTCCCCCAGGAGCCTGGTACATCATTCCCATTCTTATGATTTACATCATCATCCAATACTTCATCTTCCTCAAGTGAGTACCTCCTGCTACTCTGCTGCCCAGCTTCCCTCCCTTCCCCCCACCTCCTCGTGGGTACCTCCATCCTAACCCTCTCACCCTGGCCACACTGCAAAGAATCCAGGGAGGGTGCTGGGCCTCTCCTATGGCCTCCTCCTTGAAAGCACCCTACTGTGCCCTCCCCAGCCTGGTGATAGCTGTCCTGGTGGATAACTTCCAGATGGCACTGCTCAAAGGCCTAGAGAAAGTGAAACAGGAGGTACCAAGTGGGGTGGGGCGGGTGGACCAGATCAGGAAACTCAAGAGGGAGGCTCAGGGTGTGCCAGGGACAGGTAAATGTGGGACTCCAGCAGGACTGAGGCTCTTCTCCCCAGAGGGCTGCCCGGATCCATGAGAAGATACTGGAGGACTCAATAACGGATCTCAGAAAAGCAGGTACCAAGCTCACTCACACCCACCCTCACCCTGGTCACCCTGGGCCCCTCGCTCTAGTCCCCCAGCCTCCTGCCACAGTCAGGCACACAATGCCAGGCTCAGTTTAGAGTTTTAGAATCTGAGACTTGGGAGGACTTTCAGAGTTTAGGGCTTTAGGACAATCCTCCCAAAGCCAATTAAACTGAAAGACCCATGTCTAAGAAGACCAATTGGCCAACTTATGATTCACCAAACCCCCATTTGTGTTAATAATATATAAAGTCCATAGCAGTTGGTCTTCTATGGGATGGTTTCAACTGCCTTTGTGAGTTTGTCAAGGTTATACACATTTGTCTGGAGTCACTCAACATGGATTGAAAGTCTACAGAAATGAAGTTTCCTGCACATGTTTATTTTCACACTCCCATTTTTCTGAGTGAATTGATTTTGAGATAGTTGGTTTGCTTCCTGCATAAGCATTCTCAGAACTTTAGAATCTGTGCTCCATAATCCCACTCTTAGGATCATCAACATCAGAGAATTAAAGGTCCTCTGAGATCACCTGTTCCCTCTCCTGCACTCCCCATCAGAAACACTCAGTGAAAAACAGCTTAATCAGAAAGAGCAATTAATTGGCTCAAATTACTTGGCAGAATGAGGGTACATGGGCTTTCAGGAATGGCTGGATCCAGAGCTCAAATTATGATTAGGATTTAGTCTCCTTCTAGGTCTCTGCTCTGCAGCCCTCTGTGTGGTTTTATTCTAAAGGCAACTCTTCCCTTGGAGTAGCAAATGATCACCTGCAACTCTAGCCCCAAATCCTCACAGGTTAGCCATCCCTAGCCCCCGCCCAGTAGAAAAAGGAATCCTTTTCTCCCAGAGGTCCCAACAAAGTTCCAGAAATGAGCCCCCCACCCTTTGTCTAGTTCTGACCCAGTCACCACAGCCCAAAAGACAGGGTGTTCTGATTGGCCAGGCCTAAGTCACACGTCTTTGGAGCTGAGGAGCAGGACTAATATCAGCATGGGTTGAAAAGGGATAGGGCTGGTCCCCATGAAAATTAGGATACTTTTACCAGAATAAGGAAAGGGTGCTGGACAGGAAAACACAGAACTTCTGCACATGCCACACCTAGAGAAGCAACCTCTTAGGAGGCACCCTGGGCAGATGCTCCTTTGGCCTCTTTTTGAGCATCTCTATGGTGCATGGGGCCTCTCCCACCCCCTGTCCTAATTCAGGCGATTTCTTCACCTCCCCCTTCCTTCTTTCTCAACATCCAGAGCCTGAAATGGTGATGAGTGAAGGCACCATGAGAAAGCAGTTCATCGAGAAAAACTTTGGGCCCATGACTGACAAGTGAGAGACACGAAGGGAGGGGAGGATCTTAGGTCCTGACCAAGAGGACTGGGAGGAAAGGGACCTCACCTGCCTCCCTGGAAGGAGGATGGAAAGCTAAGGCTTGTGTAGGAGCCTGTGGGTGGAACATGGAGACCACAAGTGGCTCCTGCATGCCCAGAGGTGCCCCACCAGTGGGGACTTCGCTCATCCCTTTACTCAAGAAACTTCCCGACCTTTGTCACGGACAGCCTTGTGAGGGCTCCAAGGGACCCAAAGAGGACGCAGTCTCAGTCCCTGGCCATGAGGTTCTTACCTCTGAAGGTCTGTTCTGGGCCTTGCAGGATTGGTGGTCTTCAGCCAGGTGGAAGGATGATGAGGCGGATGCAGAAAACAGTTTGGGTAAAGGCCTCAGGGCCAAGTAGGAGCCTCCATTCCTGTGTACTTCAGTGGCCAGTTGGGCCAGGAGAGCTAGGGACTTATGGCTGGGGACACATGCTCATGATTAGTACAGGCTCCCACTTCCTGGTGTTCAGGCCTGGCTCCCCAGAGAGCGGGGTCTGCCCTACTCCATCCAGACTGGCTCTCGTCCAAACCCCAGGACATCCAAACCACTGGCATCCTCTAGGTTCTCCTCACCCACCAAGCGAGCCCAAGCTCTGTGGCCTGGCATTCAGGGTCCTTGGATCAGGCCTGGGCTAACTTCCCTTGTATCATGGTAGCCATGATCACCCCAGGCACATCTTTGCTTCACCCACATCATTTCCCAAGCACAGCTCACACTTCTCTACCTTCAGGCCTTTGCCTACACTGTTCTCTCTGCCTGGAATGCTCTCTGGCTGCTGATTCCAGATCAGGGAGCCAAGAGTTTCAATCCTTGCTTGCTTCACCTCCTCCTGGGTCACTTACCTGTCCATCTTCCTTGTTCCAGCTCCTTGGCCACTATGCTTATCTGGGGTCCTTGGCACTTCTGGGTTTCCTGGTCTCCAAACCTCCCCACTGGTCCATCTCCACTGAGTGATCTTGATTAAGTGCTATTTTGCCTTTTCTCTTCTCTGAGTTTAGGCTCTTGCCCACCTTGCTTTGACTCATCCTGGGTGTCTCCACCTTCAGCTGATCCACTCCCTGAAACAGCCATCCTGAAGCCTGCCCCAGGCCCACAGTAATGCCCCCCTGACCTCACACCTCAGAGCACCAGGGACCCTGCCCAAGCCTGGCAAACTTACCTGTATCTTCCAAACTCAGCTTCCTCTGAAAGCCTTTCCAACCCCCAGAACTGGTTGGAGTTTCCCTCTGTACCCATCTTTGCACCTACCACACTGTGTCGGTAGTTGTCTGGCTGTGGAGCCAGGCTGTTTCTTGTTCATCTGTACATCTTTGGACCATCTTGCAGTGTTCATTATGTTCTGTGTTGTTTGATGGAAAGGCTGATGAGATGGATGGGTGGTAGTGGATGGACAGTGAACTCCTGGGGGGTTCTTGAGTGGATGACTGAGCACACAGTCCAGTGGGGTGGACAGGAGCAGATACAGGAAAGAGCAGGAGTGGAGGGAGAGGTGAGCATGCACAGGTGGGGGATGGACAGGAGCAGATAGAGGGAAAAGCAGGGGTGGAGGGAGAGGTGAGCATGGACAGGCAGGGGTTGGAAAACTGGGTGAATGGATAGCAAGACAGGTAGATGGGAGGTGAGTGAATGGAGAGGTGTGGGCAGGTGGTGAATAGGCAGATGGAGTACATAATGAATAGTTTGAAGCTTCATGGCACAGGCAGACATGGGACTTTTCTGTATGTGGAAAAGGAAACATACTGAAAACAGAGGTCTACTGCAGTGATTTTCAACCTTCCTAATGCCACGATATATTTTCATTGTTACAAAAGGGTCACGACCCACAGGTTGAGAACCGCTGGTCTGGTGTGATGTAAGTTTGGGGGGCAGCAGAGAAGCAAGACAGAGGAGCCATCTGGGTGGCTCTGGGGGCCTGAAGTGCCAGCAGGCAAGTCAGCCCACCGCTTGCCTCCCTCTCCCCCAGGCAGCAGGAGCTCCTGTTCCACTACCTACAGCTGGTGGCAGCCGTGGAGAATCAGCAACAGAAATTCCGTTCCCAGGCATCTGTTGCCAATGAGATTGTTGATGCCACATTTGAGGTAGACCAAGCAGGATAGGGAGGGTGGCATGAGGGAGCCTTGGGGTCTTGTGCCCAGTAGTGGCCCCAAGTAACAGTCACAAGGGTATATTTGGGAGGGCAGAACCCAGTGCTAGCTCATTCACCACCCTCCATTTCTCCCTCACCCCTGCAGGTTGGAGAAGAGGACTTCAAGAGATGACTCCCAAAGGACACCAGATACAGTCTTCAGTCTCTGGCAAGCTCACTTGGGTGAATCAGGACAAATCCCCAAATCTGATGAAATGATTGTCTATGCCCTGCAGGGCCAGAATCTCAACAGAGTTTAAAAACCCCAAACAGTCCCCTGTCCTCACTGGCTGGGCCAAGGCACAGAGTAAGGGAAATTGTGCACATGCATCTGTGTGCACGTGTGTGTGTGCCAGTGTTGCCTGTGCAAGGGGCTGTTCTTGGATCCCATCCAATGGCACCTGGGCCCAGCATCTTAGCTCAGCCCAGTAGGATATTAGCAGAAGGCAGATAGTGGGCCAGGCTCAGATGCCAGGTGCTAGCCATGCTGTGCTAGGAGGGAACAGAGTGGCAATGACCCTCCTTTAGGAGGAAGGCCTATCTAGCTCAGGGGTCAGGAGAAAAAGAACAGGCTGAAAGAGCCCAAGGCTCTGGGCTTGGGAGACCAGTGGGCTCCAGGAATGGGGGTTCAGAGTTGAGGAACTCCAGCCTGCCAGGACCCTCAGCATCCAGTATAAAAGTACCAACCCAATGGGGACACCATAAACCCAGAGGCCAGAGGCCATTGTGATACCCAGCCCAGCCTAGGATCAGACCCCAGAGCACCCATGAGGGGAAGTAGGGCAGAGGCTGCTCTAGTCCTTCTGGCCCCAGGGCAGGGGCTGGGCAGGGGTGTAGGATGGAGAGCTCTGCCACTAGAGAGGGAAGCAGGGGTGAGGTTTATGGCTACTCCCCCTCACTGCCCGGTCCGGGGTTTACATGAGTTCCCTCTTCTACTTATAGCCTGATCCACACCTAAGGGTGGCAGGGGTGGGCACTGGCTTGTGTTGGGTGCTGCAGACACCACTGAGCAAGTTCACACCCAGCCCCAGCCCAGGGGGTTACCCAGCCAAAGTGGGATCTTCCACTCTCTGCAACAGCCATCTAACCTCTAGAAGAGTCAAGTCCAGAAAGCAGGACAGGCTGGAGGGAGTCAGTAGTGGGTGCCAAGAGGTGGCAGGCAGTTTTGCCAACCACCCACCATCTGTGGACTAGACCAGACAGTGGTGGAGTTTCTAGAGCCTCAGGACAAAAGCAACACCTTCCTCCCTAGCCTGGATGAGGGCACTGTTTTGCCCAGGACCTAGGAATAGACTGTGCAAAGGAAACGCCATCTGGGATTTGGGCACAGATTCCGAGGGGGAGAGGCAACCTGACAGGCATCTGTGGGCCTTGCATCTCCCCACCTCACACATTCATTCAGCAAACATTTCCTACCACTGACCCTGTGCCAACCTCATGCTGGGGCCTCTTCCTTGGGATCACATAGGAGCCCTTCCAAGCATCAGCCCCCTCACATACCCTGGCTGTCAGAGCTGCTACATCTGACAGACTTAAGCAGAAGCAGGGCTAGATGTTGTCCCCGTATCCCTAAATCATGTCAAATGCAACCCCTCAGCTCCTCAGACTCCTCGATAGAAGTGGGTCATTATTTCCCTCCTCCCTGTCTCCGCGTTTGGATGGCCACTGGGGGCAGAGGGCAGGGCCTGGGAACCAGGCTGCTACTCATTTAGTCTCAGCACTGGGCAGGGTGTAAGACAGGCACAAGTAAGGTAAGAGGCCCTGTCAGGTAGGAAGGGCCTGCTGGCATGAGGAAGTGCCAGTGCCCTGGCCCAGCTATGGGTGTGTGCTCTGAGGAACACCCCTGGGGTGGCATGTGGGTCTCTGGCTTGTGTGCTTGGGGCCTGTGTATACCTCTCAGGTTATTTGTCTGGAGTGTGTTCTTTCTGTGTATTTTTGCTTGGGCTTTAGGGTAGCTAAGGTTGTGTTTGTGTTTTTCTGGATGTGTGTGTGTGTTGTAGGTTTCTGTGTGTACATGTCCTATGTGTTGGGTGTATACGTGTACAGGTATATAGTATGACTTGCAGCCATAAATTCAAGTGTGCAAGAAATGTTACAACTGCTTTCTTTAAACGACACTGAATCGAATTTATTCCTTCATCCCTCTTGTGGGCAGATTTGAGCTCTGTCCTTCTGAGGCTCTCTGTCCTGCTCCCTCCAGAGGATTTTCCAGGAACAAGGCATTGGAGTCCCTCTGGTGTGTGGTCCACAGTGTGGACCTGAGAGGCACTCTCCTAACCCTCATGATCTCTTGACCTGCAGGGGCTCTGCCATCCTTGGCCCACATTCAGGGATAGGAATCTTCATAGGCTGGGAGCTCAGTGTCCTGGGGCCTGCCTGACTGAACCCACCATGTGCCACCTCTGAGCTCCTCCTGGGTGCTAAGAGGATGTTGAGCACAGGCGCCTCTTCAGAGAACTGTGGATAGCTGGCCCTGTTCTAGTCCTAGGGCATCATCTCTCGTCTGTGACTTTGTCACCTCTTACCTCTAAGACTTTTGGGGTCTCTGGCTGTGTTTGGGGGCTCTGGATATTTATCCCTCTCTGTCTTCAATGCTGGGGTATTTTGGGGACTCCAGATTTGGAAGTTGAACCCTGTTTGGGCTGGGACAGTAGAAGCTCAGGTAGGAGTGGTGTGGGTGACCCGTCAGCACAAGGTGGGGTGTGGGAGCTGCCAGGACTAGAAGTGGGGGCGGGGGGAGGGGAAAGCATTCAGAAGAAACCAGTGTAAGGAGTATTGCTGATAATTTATTGTAACAGATGTGGTTCATGGACCTGAAGTGCCCTCCACCAAGGCTGTCCCCCTGCCCAGCTCCTACTGGCCCCTGCCCTCAGGGACTATGACACACGTGAACAATTAGACTTTAAAAGCTCAGAAGTGTTCTTCCAGGGAACCACCAGGATCACAAAGTCACAGCGCAACTTCTGTGGAGAGAACATGGGAGATAAGAAGGGGTGAGCCCAGCCCTAGCCCACTCGCTCCCAACAGCCAGCCCTCTGCCTGCCAGTGCCACTCTCTGGAAAGAGAGGGACAGTCACTGACCCAAAGAACATTGAGACAGATAGCTGGGCCTAGATCCTAGATCACAGCCTCATTCCTGCACCCCACCCTGGTCTGGACGCTGTCATCCAGAAGGCCAGACAGGTTCTACCAGACCAGTTACGGCTGAACTGAGGCTCTGCAGAGGACTAAGGCCAGGAATGCACAGCTATTACCTCCTGCTGTGCATCTACAGCCAGGGGACAGGTGGCAATGCGGTCTTCAGTCACTATGTTCTTCCTGCAGGATGTGCTCCCCATCAGCACAGTCAGGAAGTACTGGATGCCAGCCACCAGCTGAGGACAGAGGGTGGAAGCAGATCAGCTTTGCCCACAGACAACCCACCATCCTGCTCTCACTTCCTGACCTCCACATTGTCCCATGCCTGTGGGGCCCTCTGGCCTGGGCTTCAGATCTGGGTTGGAGATCCTCAGGAGAGATTCACACTGTGCTGGAGGCTATGATCCACCTGCACACAGCTTCCTGAAGCCTAGACAAACATGCCACTGGAGCTGCCCACTGTGCCCAACTGCCTCCCTTCCTCAATCTACCCCATCAGGGCAGGGACTAGAGAAGGCAACTGAGGTAGGCTGTGCAACACAGGAGTGGGTCAGGTGGCACCTGTGGCTCAGTAGGTAGAGCGCCAGCCCCATGTACCAAGGGTAGTGGGTTCGAACCCAGCCCCAGCCAAACTGCAACAAAAAATAGTCTGGTGGTGTGGCAGGCACCTGTAGCCCCAGCTACTCGGGAGGCTGAGGCAAGAAAATCACCTAAGCCCAGGAGTTGGAGATTGCTGTGAGCTGTGACACCACAGCACTCTACTGAGGACAATAAAGTGAGACTCTGTCTCTTAAAAACACACACACACAGGAGTGGGTCTTGTGTTCCTTTAAAATGTAGATATTTTGTCCATTATGGATTATTGGCATTAATTTTTTTTTTGTTGTTTTTTAAGTTTTTTTGTTTTTGTTTTTTGAGACAGGGTTTGACTCTATTGCCTGGGCTGGAGTGCAGAGGCGTCATCAAGTCTCATTGCAATCTCAAAACTCCCAGGCTCAAAGTGACCCTACTAACTCAGCTGGCCCAGTAGCTGGGATTACAAGCACACATCAACACACTCTTGACTAATTCTTCTATTTTTGGTGCAGATGGGGCCTCACTATGTTGTCCAGGCTGGTCTCAAACTCCTGGCCTTAACAGATCCTCTCTCTTGGGCTTCCTAAAGTACTGGCATTACAGGGAAAATGTTATCTTGACTGCTCCTGTGGCGCCCCCTTCACCTGGAGCCTGGGAGCGCCTCTGGACTTCCCGGCCCGCCCTGGTCTGCCCTGGCCAGTCCTCCTGCGCCACTCACCTGCCTCTGCGCCGTGATGATCTCCATGTCGCGGAAGTAGTAGACACTGTTGCTGTCCCTGTTGTAGTTGGCCACAGCCATCTGTGTTACCTTCTGCACCTCCGGGTCACTGGGCGACATGTCCATGCGTTCTCCAACCAGGCGCTCCCCCTGAGCCAGGAAGTTGCAGGGCAACTCCAGGAGGCAGAGCGTGACCAGGGACAGGCACAGCGCCAGCGAGAGCCTTGGACGAGCCATAGCCAACACTGCCCAGCGCTGGGCCTGCGCCCCTTTTACAGGCTCCCTACCGCTCCGCCCCACCTGTGGTGCACTCCCGGCCAGAACTGGGGCGGAGCCAGTGAGTGCTTCCCCAGCCCCGCCGCCCAGGCTCTCCTTCCTCCCAACCGCCCACCTCCTACCAGGCCACCCCACGTGAAGCTAAGGGGGCAGCACACAGGCCCGAGGACCCCTGTGTGCCACGAAACTTCCCTGCCCTCCAGGGAACGCCCAGGCTGGGTGTTGCTGCCCTGCCAGGTTTATCTGCCCACTACCTAAGAGAAAGCCCTTGTCCAGAGACAACAGGGTTTACAGCAGAAAAAGAGTTTATTCCATATAAGCCCTAAGTGGGAGATGAGAGAATTCTCTCAAATCCACCTTCCCGAGAATTAGGGGGACAGTATTTTTTTTTTTTTTTTTTGGAGACAGGAGCCTCAAGCTGTCCCCCTGGGTAGAGTTCTGTGGCATCACAGCTCACAGCTACCTCCAACTCCTGGACTCAAGCGAGTCTCCTGCCTCAGCCTCGCGAGTAGATGGGACTACAGGCACCCAGGACAACACCTGGCTATTTTTTGGTTGCAGCTGTCATTGTTGTTTGGCCGGCCCAGGCTGGATTCGAACCTGCCACCTTGGGTGTATGTGGCTGGCGCCTTAGCCACTTGAGCCATAGGCCCAAGCCAGGAGGATTTTGAAAGATACTTTGGTGGACAGAGGATTAGGCAACCAGGGTCTGTTAATGAGCTGGTTTCAAAGGGAATCAGCAATCCTGTGGTATGGGGCTGTGGGGTGGCTCAGCCCATTCCTGGGAACCAGTTCTTTGAGTTGGGGACCCAAGATCAGTTAGAGTCACTTCCTTGGTCTGAGTAGGTTACTGGAATGCAGGACCTGGAAGATATCTCAAGAATGACCCCTAGGTTCTAAACAGAGATGACATTATTCAGAAAGAAAAGTTAAAATCTTTCTGGCTACCACCTGTGTCCTCTAGAATAGCAATTATAGAGAAGCAAACAAGGTGACAGTGACTATTATCAAACAAGGGGACAGTGGCTGATTATTATGTTGGCCAAGCCTCCTCCTTCACAGAGTTTGATTATTGTAATTTTAGCTAGACCTGTTTCTTCCCAGAGCTTTAGTGGTCCTTACTCTAGTTCTTACCTGGCACTCCTTCATCAATTTGTAAGGGTGGTTACACAGGGCGTTAGAAGTCGGCACCAGTCCGCAGCAACAAGTGCCACTAGAGGGACAGTTCACAGGAGTGCTGGCTAGTTTGACCAACTGCACCTATTTTCAAGCTCTTACTATGGCCACCATTTCCTAGCCATGTTACCTTGGAGAAGTTGCTTAATAGCTCACTGCCTCAGTTTCTTCTGTAAAAAGGGTGGTGTGAGGATTCAGTGAACTGACACAGGTACTTAGAAGAAGCCCAGTGTTGTATAGACAACAGGTAAGTAGGAGACATTACTGAGCCAGCACAGTTCAACCCTTACAACCAGCATGAAGTGGCAGTTATTAATATTTCCACTTCACAGAGGAGGAAATGATACAATAGGGAGAGATTTGTCCAGGGACACTGGCTGGTAAATAGTGAGTGATGACACTGGCTTTTGAGCCCTGACAGTCCAAGTCAAGTCTGTGCTCTTAAACCAGACTGAACACAAGGGTAATTGGTTGAAAGGAGGAAGTGTCACACCAGGCCTGCCATTATACTAACTGGGTAACTTTGAACAAGCCCCTCCACCTTCCAGACCTTCCAGAGCCTCATCTGAAAAAAAGATGAAAATTCTTACCTCCTAAGGATTGTTCTGACATTGGTCGCTCAAGACTGTGTCACATGTAAGATAACAGTGGGTATGTGCTGGAGGTACCAGCAAAATAGGGGTCTCATGATTTCTTAAAAATAATCCAATAATAGGGCGGTGCCTGTGGTGCAAAGAAGTAGGGTGCCAGTCCCATTTGCCAGAAGTGGCGGGTTCAAACCCAGCCCCGGCCAAAAACTGCAAAAAAATAATAATAGTAATCTAATAATTAATATATAAACAACATCATTGAAGTAGTCAACATAGAAAAAGTTTGGATTTTGTTGGAATTCTTTATCATATATCAGAGTTCAGCATAGTTTATACTTTTAACTATGTGTTGCTGAGGGACAGGCACTTATTGTTTTGGGGACACTAAAACTTTGTCAGTGCTTAGCAGCCGTTATCAACCTGTGGGGTCGCAACCCCTTTGGACTGTATTAAAGGGTTGTGGCATTAGGAAGGTTGAGAATCACTGGCTTAGAGCTTCCAAGGGTCTTAACAGGGGTTTGGAATTGGAAGAGCTACTAGTTTTCAGTACCTGACAATCAGTTGGTGCTTAATAAGTGGTAGCAATGATTGTGATGAATACTATAAGTAGGCATCAAGCATATCATTAATACTCCTCCAATTCTGGGTCTCTCAGAATCCAAGACCATGAAAGGAAGTGATTTCTTGCACAGCGACTCAGACCAGAGCATGGTCACTGCCCAGTCCAACTGTCAGCCTGCTACCCTACGCCCCTCAACCCAGCTGTGAGAAACAAACCCTGCCACTGGGATTCCAAGGAAGGACTGGTTGCTTGTTTCTTACAGGCTCAGGTGTCTGCCTTAAAGGGACAGACTCCAGTCAATGGAAAATGCCCAGCAGGGGTCCTGAGCTGAGGGAGCCTGGGAAGGTTAGAGTAAGAGGCCCAGGACCCAGCAATAAGGTAAAAGAAACAAACTCAAGGGGCTCCCCCAGGTCTGCTCTCTGTCACTTGGAGCTCAGCCATGGCCATATGTATTTTGACAGCTCCCTAGAAAACTAGCCAAAGCCCCATCTCCAACTCACCAAGACCCAATAGTGCCCGGCTCACGGGCATTCACCCTACCTGTCATTGTTTTGTGCTTAGGCCAAAGAGTCTTTTGCACCATAACCTAACAATTTCCAAGGACTCTTCACCCACTAACTCCCACAAGCACCCTGGAGTACTAAGCATTATCTTCATTTTGCAGATGTTAACCAGAAAGGTCAGAACACTTGTCTAAAGTCACATAGCTAGAAGTGGTGTAGGAGAGAAGAGGGAGGGGGAAAGAGAAATTAACAATAACTAGGCTCTATACCAGTCTTTATGCCAGGGATTCAACAGAAGTTCTCTGACTCCCTTACCACCCCTATAAAAGCAGTGATTACATGCCTTTCTGAAAAGAGGAAATGGGGGGGGGTCAAATGAGAAGTGTCAATGATAGAGCCGGCAGTGTCATCCACATGCCAGCAATAGAGATACAAGGGCTGGTGTGTGGGTAGGGCAAAGGTGGGACGGGGTTGGTCCCTGGGAGTGGGATTTCCTGGGAGGATTTTCCCAGAGCCTGGACTAGACTCTACCCTGTCTGGACCACTCTTGCTTCCAGAAGGAGCATTGAGCCAAGCCTGAATTTGAGATTAGCCAGAGTTCTGTGGCCCAGACATCCCAGCCCAGGTTGCCCACAGCACCCCTCTCTTGCCCCTGACATGATGGGTCTTCATGACCAGGCTGGGCCCTTGACATTTCTGGAATCAGGTCCTCCAGGGCCTTTTTGCTTGCCCCAGAACCTTATTCTTATAATCTTCGGCTGGGAAAGAGGATATTCCCTCCTCTGGGATTCTGCTCCCCTTTCCCTGTCACACCACATCCTAGGAAGGAGCCCTTATGGTAAGAAAGTCTGTGATCCAACAGCAACTAAAGGTCCCCTCTGTAGAAGAGCTCTCTTAAGTGCCAGAGGCTTTGTGTGGATTAGCTGGTTGAAACTTCACAACCTGCACTGGCTGACAGAGGAAGAGACTGCAGCTCAGGGAGATGAAGCAACTTACTCCAAATCACACAGGGAACAAGGGCCCAGAACCAAGCCTAGCTAGCTCCTCAAGGCTGCCATTAGTCAAGGCTGGACAGTGGACAGCCTTGGTCGCTGAAGGGAAGAGGGCAACCCAAAAAGGGAATTACTGTCATGAGCACCTCCTGGGAGCCTTCCACACGATCTGGGCTGCCACTGGGCTTGGTAGGGAAGGTGTCTTGAGCTTGTGTCGGTCCAGGCCACCTTCCCCTACTTTCTGAAGGGCAGCAAGAGCCCTTCAAGACCCCAGAGTACATGGTTGGGTCCACCCCAGTCTCTCGGCTGGTTCTGGGCACTCATGGGTAGACTGGCTGAGGGGGTCACGCTCTGGCTAGGTGTGGCAAGTGGTGGGGCTTGGAGGCACTAGGTCAATATTTGCTGATCCAGGCCCACCCGTGCCTCAGGCTAATGGGTGGCCAGGTATATACTGTGGGCAATGTGGGCTGACACTTAGATAACCTGATTCCTACCCTTCACCACCCAGTTCTGCTTTCTGCTCCACCATTTCGGGCCTTAGTCCTTTTGTCCTGCCAGCTGAGTCAGGGATGGATCTTGACAGCCCACACTGTCACAAGGTACATTCTACATGTCCTTGTCACCTAGTGCCCCAGGACTGATCCAGGAACTCTTTGGGGGTGCCATATGGAGTCCACATTAGTTCCTGAACTGCCCCAATCTGTCACAAGCACTGCCTGAACCCAAGAAGAGGTAAGGAAGCGGTTTCCAGCCCCTTCAGAGACAAAGCCTGTGGGTAAGCCAGGGAAAGGCAAATTATGAGGAAACAAAGACAGCATGACTTCCAGAGTTCCACCAGGATCCCAGAGCCAGGGGAGGGAAAAGTGTGAGCAGGAGCCTGGGGCAGGGCTTCCTGGAAGAGGAGGGAGTCTTCATTATCTCACAAAGCATTAGCAACAGTGCGGCAACATCACAGCTGAGCACGCGTGGGGAGGAAAACATCAGAAACACAGTATAGTCTGCAACTCCCAGGAGAGCCCTACTTACCACCTGTTTGGACTTCAGACTAGCACCCTCCCAGAAGTGGCCTGTAGCACAAGCTGGACCCTGCTGTGGCCACCTGGTGTCCCTTCCAGGGTGGGCCACTCACATTTTTCAGACTCAGCCTTGCACTGAAGCCTTATCCCCATTAATATTTAGGTTCTGAATTGACACATAGTTGTTCC